TGCATTATAACATTTAGATGCCACGGACCCCCAGTTATATATATATATATATATATATATAAACTGGGGGTCCGTGGCATCTAAAAGATTAATGATCCCTGGCTTATGTAGACATTAATTATGATCTTTTTAACCACTTGAATATAGCCTTAATGAAGGTTAATGTGTGGTAACAAAGTCGTTTAAAGTTAAATGTGTCTTTTTTTGTATGTCAGAGTAAAGTAGAGTTTAAGTATGCTTAAATATTTTTACTTGGTTACTGTACACGTTTGCTATAATTTTTGCATAATTGTTGTGATAGTGCTGTTCACTCTGCTGTTGGTGGAACACTGTATTTATAAAGGAAGGAGATGGGCGTTCTTCTTCCTGAAATCAATAACTATCTCCACAATTGTTTGTGTGTTTAGCTCCAAGTCGTGGACTGCACACCATGACAGCAGACGGCTCACTTCCTCACGAGGTAGACTGTCAATGGAGCATGAGTCGAGAACATGGGTCCAATAACAGACAGGATGAGGGAATTAAAAGCTGATATAAGAAATCAGAACTAAAAAACAACAAATACACTACTGTTCAAAAGCTTAGTGTCATTATAATTTGTAAATGTTTTTAAAGTCTCTTGTGCTCGGTGAATGTGATTTCACCAAGTACAACATGTTCCTGTTTCAACATCCTTGTTGACCACAGTCCATTCAACCAATTAGATTTGAGGGATAGGTTTATAGTTAATGTATGCTTAGTCTTACAACAAGGGTTAGGGACTTACCGTTGTTATTCACCTATCATTTCCCGCTGATTTTAGGGATAAGTTATGGGTAGGGTTAGGAATATTTTTGGACAGGAATGTTGTTCCAGGATCAAGAAAAGACGTCAATCCAGGAACTTGTCTTACTTTATGCTCACCCAGGCTGCATTTATTCAATCAAAAAGAAAAGTAAAAACAGTAATATTGTGAAATATCATGACATTTTTACTGTTTTCTATTTTAATATGCTTTAATATACTTTTTTTTTTTTTTTCATGAGGAAAAAAATATTTTGCTAATATAGTAATATTTGAATAGTAATATTTTTGCCAAATTTAAAACTTAAAACTATTTTAAAAAATCGCAATCGTGAAAACGATATACAATATAAAAACCTTGCATGCATGTTTTAACCTAGGTTTGTCATTAACCCTTTATGTAATTGAGGAATGAATGAATTAAATGTGATTGAAGAATTGACCTAAAACTGAATTAAATGTTGTCTGTGTATTAAGTTTGAAAAGAAATCATTTTAATGTAAAAAAACAACAACAAAAAACTGTTAACTGAAAGAACTGACAACAGTGATCATGAAGAAAAAAACACTTTATCAAAGCCCATGCAGCACATCTGTTCATATATGATGCCAGTGGAATTCCCAGCCTTACTGTTCCCTGTTCCAGCTGTCATTTTTGCAGCCATGCAGTCCATAAAAAACAGGACACACAAGTTTGTCAGTTGACTTGGCCCTGTACAATGCATCCCACTCATTTCAGCGTGACTGCAATGCACAGACTTATGGGTGGGGTGAGCAAACAACAGAGTGCTTAAGCATGTCATTATTCATAAGGTGAGGTTTTATGTCTTTCGTTCTGCCTAAACGAAATGCCACACTGTCTTTTTAAGTTTAAAATCTATGGTTAAACAGATACAATATGCAAATCACAATTCTGTGCAAATAGATATAGTAAAAGAGACCAATTGTAATTAGAATGCAAATATTTTAATGACATTATTGTCGGTTGGATTAATGCTGAACATTTTAGCTATGTAAATCAATGGAAGATGCTTTAATTTGGAATTTTTACAATGTTTACAAAAATATATGCAAACATATTTTAATAATAATAATGGTTGTGATTATTATTAATGCCATTATATTAATGCCAAGTATTGCACATTTATTTTCATTTTTGTTTTGATGCCAATTTATCGGCACTGATATCAATATTATTACAGTGCCTTGGAATATCTAAAAAAAAAAAACAGAGTATAAACAAACACAAAGTATGATGACAAATTGCTGAAAGAAGTTTTTTAATGAAATATTTTATTAATACATTATATTGCGTTCAAAATGAGAGTTCCAGGACTCTTTACAATAAAGTTAAAATGTTCTTTCATCTGTACTGTACATTCAAGACACTGAACCACTGTTTAATACACCTCGAGGGAAAAGAGGAAAAGGTTAGATAAATATCATCACATCATCTGTATTGCACTCAGGCCGGTAATGGACATGAAAAGGCAACCATTATAAGAAGATGCCTTCAAAAGGCACTACAGCTAGATTTTATTTTGATGCACCTCAAAATAAAATGTGTCTGCTAGTCCTTTAGAAAACATTAATATGACTCAATATAAACAACAACAGAAAAAACGTGTAAATTAAAACAGAGGTATTAGAATGAATGGCGATTGGCTTGAAGGGAATAGACTGTATGGGATTCTCCATTGTGGGAGAACCTAGTGTCCCTGCTGGCGTCCTTTGGGGAAGGTCTGTTTCCAGGGTCACAACTTCCTGACCGCAAAACACAAAACAGGATATGGCTTGCCTGTGGTGAATCTCTGGGAGAAAATACATTGACTGCCAGTAGAGAACATCAGCACAGTTGTACAGCTCTAGTGCTCATGTGGATAATGCAGGTTCTAGTCCGACTTGCAACATGTTCTGATCCCATTCCCTCCCTCTAACCATTTCCCGTGGCCTTTCTGCTGTGTTTATCCACTGCAAGGCATTTTTACCATCAAATCATCAAATTGATGATCAGTGGTGCATATTATGGATTAATCTGCACTATGAACATGTTAAATTAGCATTTAACATGTTTAAAATGCAAAGTGATCTTATATCAATATATATATATATACATAAGAAACAAATCACCACATTTACTGTATATAAAAAGAGCTGGACGTAAATGTTCAGTACTTGAATACGCGAAACATTATCGGTATGCAGGACTGTAAGTTCCTCCTACTGGAAACATATTCAAAGCAGAACAACATGAAATGTTCAACATCACAGTTGAGTAGGCTTTATACTCCGAGGCACATTTAAGATGTCTTCACGGCTCCACTGAGTCCATTAGTCCGACAAGCTCTCCCATAAGTCCCCTGTGATGATTCCCACTGTAAACATTTGATTTGAATGAATGTAGATGTCTGCGTCATAATATATAGCACGATATGAACTAACCACATAGTCTTTTCCATTCCTTAGCAAGTGCAATTCGGTTCTGAAATGGTCCTTTTCTTGCAGTGCAGTCGTCCTCTTAATATGTACAAAGCAGCAATAATTTCATGCAGAACTAATACTAAATCAGAGAAGTATTACAGTCGCAAACATTTCGTGACAATGGAAAAAAACTGAAAAGTGATAGCTTATTTAAGGAATTATTGAGAGCAACATAACAGACAGCAAAGGTAAAACTGGGTCACTACTTCTGTTTATAATATTGTAAATGTCTTTGATAAAATATGTATAGCATTTTAAGAGATAAAATAGGGGAAGGGGGAATGTTTATGCATAAAATCATGCATCCATGAACAAAACACATGAAGCATGTAAAATCAAAATTAAAAAATCTAATTCTTAATTTTTTTTATGTAATATTGCAGTATTAATATAAATGATTTATCTGTGTAGATCATTATTATTATTTTTTTAAATTCATGTTCCCTTGTAATCTTTAATCTAAATAACTTTTGCAGCATCTCTTCTCTTCTCTGATGACGTGTTTACTGGCGGGAATGGGGGGGGGGGGGGGGGGGATGGGGGGGGCAACCTGTCACTCACATGGTCACTTGACCAATAGCAAACCACAACCATCCAATCAATTCCCAATGGACAAAATCACGTTCCGCACTAGATTTTTTCTTATTCGAGAAGCCGTTTCACTTGGATATACGTCACAATAAGGAAGAAAAGACTATCGCTACTTCCGTTTCATGGTGACTTTAACAGCTCCTACTTCTCCCACGGTTTCCTCAGTAAATATTGGAGGCAAAATTGTCAAATAGATTTTAGTTTATACTGATATAAAGCTAAGGGGTTCAATGATTATTTTTCTCAGATAAGCTTTGGTAGGCCAACTTGAAAACTACCAAGTCAGAGGGTTGTGAGGTAGTGGCATGGGCGGCACAGACCTTATTAAAAATAGCCATGTTTTCCATTTCTCCCTTTAGTGTAGGGAGAGATTCCTTGGGGATAATCCAAGATGAAAAAAAACAACAATCACTCAAAAAATTTCACGCTGAAGCAAGCTAGTTACATATAGTCAGATATACACCCCAAAACAGACCAAATGATGTCTATCAGACTGAAAATCTCCCACTACATCTAGTAAACGTGTGCAAAGCCAGACGGGGGTAGATCTATTGTCATCGCTTTCACAGTACATTCAGCAGGCACGCCGGAGACCCGCACTGTGGATTCTCCTGGTAATGCAGTCTCTAAACTGAACGTGTGCGTTCTGTAGCTCCTGAAGAAACACAGTGAATCTACGGCTCAGAGTGAGTAGGATCGCCACTTCTGTTTGTTTAGGAAACTGATTGCTGCTAGATTTGACCCTTATTGAGGAATCAATTGCACGCAAAATTAGCTGAGAAAAAAAACCCCAGTTAGAGGTCATTTAGTAATTAGAAGTAAATAAATTATAATAAAAAAATGATAGACATATACACAAGTCCATATTAAAAGTATCTAATCCACAACACTGCAGTATACACTAATACTGTATTTGTGTACTTGCTCATAAGGTGATCTAGGATAAAAATTTACTACTTTCATGCGAATTAGAAATAATCATTCATTATTTACCAGTTGATCCTAGATCTGTGCTTATGAGCATTTCAAACTTTAGATATCCCTTATTAAATAAAGTTTCCTCTCATTTTCCATGCCACCAATTAATGGTCCTTTCAGTCTGGCACAAAAGAAACCTTTTCTTTGCAGTGTGTGCACATTTAAGCTCATAAATTGCATCTAGGATAACAAAGCATAAAAAAAAGCCATATTCCATTTTAAAACAGCAGTGGCTACTTGAAGAATTGCAAGATTATTTCCTCAGGATCTGGGAATTACTCGATGGATGCCTCTTAAGTGTATCCCAGATTCTCCATCTCACTACGGTAGCGTTGCTCGGACACTCGGCTTTTGTGCTGCTTGCTCTCCAGGTGAAGACGAAACTCGGCTTCCTCGCTGGCACCCGAGTTACACATTGAGCAGTAGAACTGCCCGCTGGGTGTGACGCACATTGCGAGGTCTCGTGGGATTCGCTGCCTCGGCCGTGGGTTGTAGTAAGGGCCTGAAACAGCATAGAAAACATGTCAGGTCATGTAAATAAACAAAGCATCAATTAAATGGCTACATGAATAAGCAGATTTACAGTAAAAGATGATGAAATACATCATCTGGAATGCAAAGCCAAACTCTTGACTTTGGGGATTATGTGCAAACATTCATGTTTATACTACCTTTAAAATTTTGGGGGTCAGTTTAATTTTTTTGGGGGTAAAAACAAATATCTTAATTCAGATGAAATGCATTAAATTGATCAAAAGTGACAGTAAAGACATTTAAATAAATGCTCTTCTTACTCTATTGCTATATGCTATTAATCTAAGAATCCTAAACAATGTATCACGGTTTCCACAAAAAATATTAAGCTGCACAACTGTTTTAACATATTAGAATGATTTCTGAAAGATCACGTGACACTGAAGACTGGAGTAATGATGCTGAAAATTCAGTTTTGCCACTACATTTAATATATAAATATATAATAAAATAGAAAACACCATATTTAATGCATGCATACTCAGCTGTGTGCCATTCAGATTTGAACTGAGAATGCTTTTTAAATTCCTGAATTTGGTAAACAGGATGCAAATTGTAGAATTTGAATTTAAGTAAGTAGAATTTAGGAAGTTTAAATCATATGCAAAAGCTAACTGCTTTAACCTGGCTAGCGGGGCAAATGAATGCTATGCCGTGTGTTTTTGTGCGTATGTGAGGACAGGACCACGGGGCAATGGGGGCATGTGTGTGATTGAGATCTGCCACCGTGTGGGTGACGTTCGTGAGCCCGGGTTGACGTGGGGTGGAGTATCGGCTTACATAGACCAAAGCATTGGCATTCTGCCTGCATTTAGCGAGAGTAGCGCATTGCGCTACATTAGCACAGGCTGGCAAACTAACACGCGCAGCTGCCAAGCGCTCGCTGCCAAAGCTCTGATCACAAATGGAGGTTTTGCACCACAGCTTGGACCACTGAGCAGAAAACCGAACCCACGGGACAGATCACATGATGACAAAAATCTGTCTCTCCTAAACTATTTGTTGAGGTAAATCTGTGTAGGCGGTACCTGGCATGGCAGTGTTGATATGAGCCCTGCGGTTCTTCATTAATCTGTACTCGTACCCTTCTTTCCGGGGCCGTCTCTGAGTGTCGGACAAGTCTCTGGAAAAAAATTCAATGTAAAAATATTGATGGAATTCAAAATAACAATATTTATCTGCAAGATATTTACAAAAACATTTTAATACATAAAAAATGCTACACAAAGACTTTTTTGTGGATTAATTGTTGAATCATAGTTTTGAATCAGTTCATTCAAACGGACAGCAGCATTACTAACTCTAGCAGCATTTTTGCTGCCGAAATTTAAATCAGAGATGATATTAAACACTCTCATATTAGCAAGCAACAAGGCAAGAGTGGATAGTGAAATTACTGAATTGACAAAAATTCAAATAATATTCATTTTAATGACACACTCAAATAAAAATAATATACAAATATTTTAGTAGTCAAATAAAAGTTATCATTTAAATCTATAAGATATCCAAGAATAAATTGTATATAATCAGCAAAATCACTTTGAAGTGAATATATCATGAATTTCCACCTAGCCCTACTGGTACTATTGCTGCTTTTTTTACTTGTATCACTAATTAAGCTAATTAGTGTTGTTTTGAATAACAGGATTCAAACACAGCTTAACTAGTCATAGACGTGTTTGCTCAGATAGAATCAGACGTTTGGAGTGTAACAGAATGTTTCTTCCTGGGTTTGTTATCAGGACCGCCCAACTTTGGCCACAGTGGCATTTAAATGAGTGCCCCACTTATCAATGCAAAAACAGCCTGAAGATAAAGCTACCAGAAAAAAACATTTTCCTCCATGCAAAATATCCTATTAGTTGATGCATAATGTGTACATGGAATCAAGACTCTTATGGGTGTATAAAGATATATATCCTAGATATATTTTAACTTTCATGTCAACTACCCATAAACCCCTCTCAACTGGAACAACAAAAGGGGCCACGATGACCATGTCGTTTTGCATCTGACATCCCTTCTCAGAGTCTAATCTTGCAGGACAAACTGTATAACTGTTGTCTAAATAAATAAAAAAATTCACACCTCCCACAAATATGGAAGGATTTTCCATGTTTAAGGGTGGTTTTATCTTGGAGTGCGTGGGTGTGACAGACTCACGAGGACGTGGTGTTCTGCTGCGCTTCAGCCAGCCGCAGTCTTTTGGCGTGGTTTTTGCCCTGATAGTGCGCCTGGGCCACAGCGGGGGAGCTGAAGGAAGCGTCGCACAGCTTGCAGTAGTCGTTTTCCGTGGCCAGTATGACTCTGCTAGCACCCTTAGAAAGTGGCTGCAGACGGGACAATGACAGTAGAGCTTTTAGAAAGAGTAGAGCGACGAAAGGTGTGCGTCCACAGGGACGTCTCTGATTACTATCACGATGGGCTTAGAGAATGGATGCTTGCAGAGTGACACCGCATGATCAAACTGCACTTAAAGATACTCCCAGATAGGGCTGGACGATAAAGCTTAAAAAATATGTTGTTGTTTTTTAAGCTTTTTGATGATATTCAATATATCGTCGAAAAGTTTGGGATCTGTACGATTTTTTTTTAAAGAAATGAATAATTTTATCCAGCAAGGACAATTAAATTGATCAAAAGTGACAGTGAAGACATTTCTAATGTTACAAAAGGTTTCCATTTAAAATAAATGCTGTTCTTCTATTCATCAAGAATCTAAGTATCACGGTTTCCACAGAAATATTAAGCAGCACAACTGTTTTCAACATTTATAACATATAGAAAGGTTTTTTGAGCACCAAATCAGCAAATTAGAATGATTTCTGAAGGATCATGTGACACTGAAGACTAGAGTAATGATGCTGAGAATTCAGCTTTGCCATCATAGGAATAAATTACATTTTAAAACATATTCAAATAGAAAACAGTTATTTTAAATTGTAATATTTAACAGTATTTACTACTGTAATTACTGAATCAATTCATTAAAATGGACAGTTTGAATTTCATGAAAATTATTGAATTTACTAACTGGTCGTGTTAATGTCAGTGATGCTACTACATCAAACAACAAAAACAATTCAACAAGTTTCGAAATATCCCCCTTGCTGCCATTTGACAGACAAACAGGTAGTTCCGGCCCAAATTTCAAGAAGATATAGCTGCAGAACCCAAAAGTGGGCGGTTCCTCCAAAAAGGGGTGGGGTCTCACACGTAAACACTTTCGCTTCTTCCAAATTACATTTAAATATAAAAGTTTGTAAAAAACGTTTCTCGTTGAAAGATAAATTGATCTTACATTAAATTTAGAAGTGTTAAAGTTATAAAACATGCAATTTAAATACATATGCCTTATTTACATTATTTATTATTGAAATATAGCCATTAGCCGATCAAACTTTCATCTTTGGGGGGCGACAGCTCCGTGAGAGGGGGGTATGGGATGATTTTAGTATCAAAATGATTAACACGTGCAAGCACACTTATCAATGAACTTGATACATGTTGCAGAAATGTTTTATCCATGCCTTTCAACTTGTGTGTGCAAAATTCAAAATTGAATGAATGTGAAGCAATTTGTACAAATAGAGACATTTTTGTGAATACAAATGTTTTCCTTTGTATTAGTGTATCATAATTTGCACATGCAACACAGAAGACGTGCATGTGTGGATCAGGTGACGCGCGTGCATTCATTGACTCGATTCATTGAGTCGATCCTATTTGATTCATTTGGATTTTGAGACTTTCATTTCGCGGGTTTCGCCTTGCACGATCCACACACAGCTGTCTGAGAAAAGCTGCTACCACTAGATGGCAATATTCTGCTAAAACAGACAACGGCAGCATAATCAAGCGTTCTTCCGCATTGAAGACGTTTAATGAGAGTGATATTGGAGCACCAAATTTAGTACACAATAATATAGGCCTACCCTATTAATAAAGCATACTTTATAGAGGCAAACATTACGTCAGATTATGAACAACACCCATAGAAAACCATTATAAAACGCTTAACGTGCAATCGCGCGTTGCATGTTCAGTAAGGTGTATTGGCTACTGAGTTTAAATATCACCGTCTTACTGCATTGACGTTAAGTTTTTTCTTTATAATATGCTCTATGGGAGGAAAACTATATAGCCTACAGACAAGAGACTACATGAACGCAACGCACGGCGTTTCAAGTTAATACAATTTTCCTTCCTGTTAAAAAAAGGTGAAATTTCGCAGTTGCGTTCATATTATATGCTTATTTTTATCTGACTACACATTGGGTACATAGTATACAAGCAGGAATTTGAAAATGTCTGTTTTTAAATATTAAAGACGATTTTCGCAGTACATTTGTTTTCCCTTGACCCTTAAGCCATAGGCTATAGTCTTACTATAGCACGATGAGTTTTAACAATATGCAACCATTGTATATCGACATGAAATATTAATTGAAAATCAACTGGCGTAGCGGGCCTGTAGCTGCATATTTCTACATGAGAATGCTTTGACGCGCTAACCACAGCTCATGATGCACAAGGGAACGTCTGCCAATTCCACTAACTGCGTTAAAACCACTGATCTATAATGTCATTCTATATAGATCAGTGGTTAAAACGTATAATTTGTTTTAATTCAAATTACTTTTTAAATTTAATAACAGACATTTTCAAATTCCAAAGCTCGTAGAAGGTTTCTGTAAGACTGACTTACAAGTAAAATTTGGACAATACTTCCCTTCATGTAGCCTGTATTCTGCAGAAAAATACTGTAATTCACCAAAAGGGTTTTTTCATGTTCAAAATGGTTGTAGTATGTTCAGTGACTAGACTGGCTTACTACAGGTGAAATTGCCCCAATAACTCCCTTCATGTAGCCTATTTAGTAAAAAATTATTATTTTATAAAAAAATTACTGTAATTAACCAAACAGGGTTTTGGTGACTTACTACAAGTGAATAATGTAAAATTTCACCTGACTTGTCACTAGGAACGTACTACAACCTTTGGAACATGAATAGAAAAACAATTTACAGTAAATTAAACAATTGTAGGCTACTGTTCAATCGAGATATTGGCTGGACATAGTACAGTAACAGTAGGCTAAGTCAGTCTGCCCACTAGACTTCCAAGGTTATAATATAACCTTGGAAATATGTTCATTTGAATGAATGACTGGACGTTTATATTTTTTTGACTGTGAGTGGAGTTTGCAGATGGTCCCTTTATAAAATGAGGCGAATATCAAACCTAAAACTTACTTCACTGCACTCTCGGACCGGTTGCTCTCCCATTCACATGCAAAGTTAAACGCAACTGCAGAATTTTTATTTCATGTTAAGCTTTTTCTTTTTAACAGGCTCGGGAAGGAAATGTTATTAACTTGAAACGCCGTACATTGCGTTCATGTAGTCTCTTGTCTGTAGGCTATATAGTTTTCCTCCCATAGAGCATATTATAAAGAAAAAGCTTAACGTCAATGCAGTAAGACGGTGATATTTAAACTCAGTAGCCAATACACCTTATTGAACATGCAACGCGCGATTGCACGTTAAGCGTTTTATAAAGGTTTTCTATGGGTGTTGTTCATAATCTGACGTAATGTTTGCCTCTATAAAGTATGCTTTATTAATAGGGTAGGCCTATATTATTGTGTACTAAATTTGGTGCTTCAATATCACTCTCATTAAGCGTCTTAAATGCGGATGAACGCTTGATTATGCTGCCGTTGTCTGTTTTAGCAGAATACTGCCATCTAGTGGTAGCAGCTTTTCTCAGACAGCTGTGTGTGGATCGTGCAAGGCGAAACCCGCGAAATGAAAGTCTCAAAATCCAAATGAATCAAATAGGATCGACTCAGAAACGAGTCAATGAATGCACGCGCGTCACCTGATCCACACATGCACGTCTTCTGTGTTGCATGTGCAAATTATGATACACTAATACAAAGGAAAACATTTGTATTCACAAAAAAGTCTCTATTTGTACAAATTGCTTCACATTCATTCAATTTTGAATTTTGCACACGCAAGTTGAAAGGCATGGATAAAACATTTCTGCAACATGTATCAAGTTCATTGATAAGTGTGCTTGCACGTGTTAATCATTTTGATACTATAATCATCCCATAGTATGGGTACAAGAGCTTGTGGCTCGTGGCGTTCGGATGGGGCAGAGGGGACCTGTCATCCCCCCGAGTTTGAAGCTCTGGGTCCCCACTCCCTCATCGAGATAAAAGCAGGAATCTACCGTGAGTGAGCCTTGACATGACCAATGCATTCTTTAGGATTGGTTGCGGGGCGGAGTTTGAGCTGAATCACGCATGCATGCCATGTGTCTGTTTGTCAATGGGAGGAAGCCACACCCCATTTTGGAATTCTCACCCCCATTTGGAGATTTCCAGGCTGCAGCTATACCCGTCTCCCAAATTTAGTCCACTTCAAAAGTTTGCTTGTGGCACATAAATTAAACATTTAAATGCTCTCGCCAGACAAGGAAGTGTCGCAAAGCTAGTCAATTGACACGCATTCACAAATGTTCCTTCGTTTTACATATAGCTACCAATATCATTGCAAATAAATTGTAAAAAATGTATATACGTATATTGACCAGCCTTATTCCAAGACAGCCTGAAAAAAACACACTTGTTCGGACAAAAATGCACCAGTTAAGAGTCATAAGCACCTGGTTGGAAGTCACATTTGCAGAATCTGTGGGTGGAGTGGCTGAGGGTTGCTGGGAAACAGGCTCTACTACCTCTAGTATTCGAATGGGAGGTGGCTGCTGGCTACCAGCATAAAAATTGCGCAGCTTCTTACTGTGGTTTTTGCCCTGTAGACAAAACAAATAATTTACATGCTTCATATTCATAAACCAGTCATCAGGATCTCAAGAAAAACATCTCACTCAAAGAAACCAAAACTGAAAGTAAAAATCAAGGCTAACCATCATTAAGGTGTTGTTAGATATTGTGCAAGCCAAAATCACTTTGTTGATATAAACACAGAATGTTAGTTCATTTACTATTCTTTTCTCTTCTTTTCAAACCTCGTGGGCCACAACATGAGTTAGATTACCTGATAATGTGCCTGAGCCTGTTGGGCAGAGTTGAGAGTGACGTTACAAAGCTTACAGTACAAAGGCTTGCAAAGCTCTTCCAGAGTGGCTTCCTGGTCAGCGGCCACCGCCTGACCATCTTCCTCAGGGGGCTTTGGACTGAGGACAGGAGGTGCTGGGATGGGGGGGTTGGGCGGCATCTGGAGGTGAGGGGACGGCTTTAAGGCTAGAGGAGTGCAGTGCGGGAATTGCAAGGGGTCCTGCGACATCATCACAGGTGGAGGTCTGAGGTTCTGAGTTGGGGTCATGGCCTGGAAGGGCTGAGGTGGCTGATGACACATCAAACTAAGAGGTGGCTTCAGAACCGGGTCTGGACCTGGAAAGCCAAAATGTAGGTGTCAAAATGAGAAATTAAAGGTTCCAAAAGGGAACCTTGCCATAGAAGATCCATAGACAAACCATTTTGGGTTTCTTTCAGTGAGCAGTTCTTAAAAGAACCATTTGTTTCTTAATGTGTGGTCACACTCACATTAGTGAAATTTCAGCTAAATGTGGGCAAAAAAAGGGTCAATTTTCAATAGCACTGTTCACACTAAAGCCACTTTCAAACCAAACAGTTTTCTGTTGGTAAGCACAGTGAATTTGCTTGACCAACCTGTACGAGTGAAATCTGCACGGGAAACTTCCAGAACATCCTTAACCACTGCCCTCCATCTGTCAGTCTGCTGTGAGCTAGTAATGGTGAGGAGGTGTGCTAAAGCCAAGCCCTACACTCTATTTTTCTCATTAAATATTAATTTTCACTTAAAAATATGTCACAATACTCAAGTAAAGTCGTCGCAACTTCGTTATAACTTCATTATAAAGTTCACACAGACTTAATAATCTAAAGAACCTTTTGTGCAATGGAAACGTTCCATGGATTTTAAAGGTTCCTCATGAAACCATAGATGCCAAAAAAACTTTTTTAAGAGATCTTCCTAATATCTCAATTTGTTATCTTAGACAGTAGTGAGATTAAATGTAGAGAAAACAAATGCTTTTGTCTCCTGCTTCTAAGGTAAACACTTCTGAGAAAAAGACACGCACATTTCTTCTCTAATGTTTCAAAAGAGATCTCAGATCTGTGCTCCGATTTGCCAAGTGTGCAATTAAAAGTCAGATATTTCAACATGAACTCAAACATTTATCCATCAAATTCATTCAAAACCAAATTAGCACTCAAAACACTCTATATTCTTATATTGCAGATGCACCGATAATACAATTTTGGCCGATACCATAACCGATAATTCTTTATACTTATTTGACAGCCAATAACTACTATAATGGCCGATAAATCTAAATCCAAATTTTTATAGAATTTTTGAGAGCCTGATTACAAAAACAAAAGTCTCACCATTAAAAGCCATGTCCCAAGCACACAGTTATAATGTTCTCATTATATTTTATGCAGCCTTTATGACAGACTTGTGCTATGCATGTTTCTGTATTTTCTTTTTTAAGTGATTCCAATCATATTTCAAGCAATTCAAAACCCTCGAACAGTGTGAATTTAAAGTGTCTCAGCTGAAGGAAATAATCCGTTATTTATCGGCTTTAATATAGGCTATCTGCAAAATTTTAAATACAATACAATACAAATACTAATACAAAAAATGTACATATATTGGTCGATTCCAATATGGTGGCCGACATCTTATATCAAATATATCCTTGAGGTGCAGTCACACTCAAACCAAGCAGCCAGCGAATTTGCGTGACTAACTTGAACATGAGGGAAATCTGCATGGGGAAATGCAAAACTTCAGATTGTGCAGATTCCTATTGGAATGACTGGATTTCACCCACGATATTTTACCGAGCAGGAACTAAATGAGACCTAGGAGAAACATCTGATGAAACATAAAATAACAAGTCTTTTGGGCTACATACAACAGCGACGTAAAGGCCACATACATTTTTTTAGTGCAGCATTCTAATCATAGAGCTGATGTATATAAGTGCCATGTCTTGTGCATCACAGTAACTGTAGCTAGAGGGAATCTTTGCAGTATGGCTTCCTGTAGATGTGATGAGGGCTGACTCCTGCCTCCTGAACTCAGCAAGTGTTTGGCGCTTGGGCAGAACTGAGGCCGGCCGGGCGAGTGGGGGGTTGGACAGTCAGCTGTTTTGTGGCTGTGTGATATTTCCAGTGTATCAGTTCCGACGGGATCATGACAACAATGATTCAGCCGACCAAAATAGACATAGGAATGCACCAAATGGTTCTGTTTCCGGTTGCCTGATGGTGTATTCATTAGAAAGGCACTTCTTGGAACTCTTAAATACCACACTGTATATATCCTCAAATGGAGCCGTTAACATTTTTATTTTTAACAGAAAATGTCTAGTTTCAAACAGCTAGTCCTGCCCCCAAACTATCCCAATCGGTCAGAAGCTCAAACAACTGTTGTTATTTTCCCCCAAGTGTATTGTGCTATACAGTACTTGAGATAAATCCTGTCCCTAAATGGCACATTTAAATCAAAACAGACAATTCTTAATTTTTTAAGAAACATTGCAAGAACCACTCACATGTGATCGCAGCAATTAGCAATTGACGACTACGATCCAATCAATTCCCAATGGTCCCAAAAATAAAGTAATATCATATATTTTTTCTCATTTGTAAAGCCATTTCACTTTAATTAGGGAAGAAAATATGACCATAATTTTCCGTTGCATGCTGACTTTAACTGTGATTGTTTGCTTTTCATGTTTGTTGGTCATGCAGATTTTCCTGTCAAAGAGGCAGTTCCTGGCAAGAATAAGTTACAAAGCTTGCAACTTGCTACACTGACAGTCAAAAGTCTGGTTATGAAAAAATTCCCAGTGAACAACCCATTTCTGCACAGCTTTTGCACACTTCCCCTTTAAAGGGCTAGTTCATCCAAAATTAAAATGTTGTCATCATTTACTGTTCCAAACCTGTATTAGTTTCTTCCTTCTGTTGAACACAAAATAATATATTTTAAAGAATGCTGGTAATCGAACAGTTGACGATAGCAATCGACTTCCATAGTAGGAAAAAAAATACTATTGAAGTCAATGGCTACCATCAACTGTCTGGTTACTGACATTCTTTAATTAAAATATCTTATTTTGTGTATATATTTCAACAGAAAAAAGAAACTAATACAGGTTTGGAACAACATGAGGGTGAGTAAATGATCCCCAAATTTTCTTTTTTTGGGTGAACAATCCCTTAAAATTAGATCATCATTTGCAATGTAACAAAAATTAACAATGCCCCACCATTTCACATTCTTCTCCTTTTGACCTGAAAACAAACCTGATATCTCTTGGTCATCAGGGAATACAAGCCCAGAAATAGGTATAAGTAGAACCTACAGTCCCTATTCAAGGTCACGGACACATACCTGCTTTCTCCATTCAAATTAAATCCACTGTTAATTTAGCAGCAATGCAAAGTTCAGTTGGAGCACGAGAACAAGCATCTGCTCTTTCATCAAGACTGGGATCAAATATTTTTAGATTTAGGGAGGATTGTTCTCATTGGGCATCTATAATGCAAGGTATGCAGGGCACATGAGAAGGTAAAGCAGTACTATCACTTGATGCTGCAGGTTGTTTTACACCACACCGCTGCAAAACACTTCTAAGCTGTTCGTGCATTGTACAGTTGTTCTTTGACAGCATCAATTATTGAGAGCAGAATAAATCCATTACATGCATGGTTGCTCTCTGTGCTCAAGGTACAGTTTTTCAGTGTTTATTAAGATCATCACACATTTCATCCTTCCATTTTGGCGTATGGAATTTGGATCAGAACTGTATGATGTCTTACCATAAATAAGAGCCACACTTCAACTATAATTTGCACAGAACAGAGTGCAAGGAGTCTTCTTAAATTAAATCCATTGAAGTAACCTTGTGTTTTGTGAAGACATGGACTGCAGAGAGTGAGGTTATGGACTCTTACTGGGACATTTAGAGCTGACCAGTGATGAGCCAAAAATCATAATTGATCTCTTGCATGCCCCTCCATATCAGCACAGTCATTGGGTTCATATGTGAGCCAGATTTAAGTATATCAAGTGTGGCAATAAACCTGCACCCATTCTGCACAAACTCATGTAGTATATAAGGAATAAATAAATAATTGGTCAACTCTGTGTGTAAAAGAATATATTTAAAAAGATGGCATACATGATTTATGTTACTTATCTAATGCAAACACATAACATCCATACAGAGCTTAAGCAGCATATAATCATATAATGAAAATAGAGTGGCATATAATACAAAAAGTGCACCTGAAGAATTTCAGTGAGATGTTAAATATGTTAGTCATGTACATAGTGTTCCATTAACATTTGATATGCCATGATCCTTTAGCAATGCAAATAGGGATGCCCATTCTCATTCTGTCAGTGGTTATGTTGACGTCAAAACCTTTCTTCTAACAAACCTTACTATTATTTTAAAATAATGAGCGATTCCTAATAAACTCTCATTTTAAACCATTGCAGTGCAAAGCAAATATGATGCAGAGCATCACTTATAACGCAATGCATTGAACCCCATTTTTGAAAACATGGTCTTTTCCTACCTGTCATCCGGGGGAAATAATGACTGCAATCTCCATAGTTTACAGGCTGAGAGCTGTAGATATTGCAATAGTCAGCACTTGAATAAAAAGCATCTCTGTTCTTTACATTCATCGCCATCTTCCCTGCATCCTTCCAAGCTCTCTCTGCTGCTCAACTTCTTCCAGCCAGACGTGAGCCACATGCTTCAAACGTCCAACAGAGGGGTGTTTACAATCGCGCAAGGTGTCATAAACCCTAGAAATACGTAAAAATGTTCTATACACGAGAGAGGGATATTTAAATTGTTCCATGGATACATTGGAAGATTGTATTCCTATACATAATTCTAATTGGGCGAAAATATTGTGGAATTTAAATTAACCTCTCCCTCACAAGAGTTGGCACAGTCCATTTCCTATCGATGCGAGAATCTGATTGACGATTCAGCACGCGCAATGAGAGAGGATGCGCGAGCCTGTGACATGCCAAACGAGTGTGAGAAGTACTTGAGGTAGTGTACTTCATTACTATTATCTATTTGATTTAGGTGTATTTTGTATTTTACACGAGTAGTTTTGAGACTGAATACATGTATTTTACTCAATTGCATTTCCAAGGCTATTTTTTTTGCTTCTTAAAAATTGATTTAGACGCTGAAACTATACGTAAACTACGTTGAATTATTGTATTCAAAGCTGAAGACGCAGCTAATGTCATACAACTATAAATCATAAGTTTAACAATTTGCAATAATCAACAAAGTATGGGGGACATTGAGAAAATGTAGATACAATTTTAAATACTTCAGTTAATTGTAGAAACGTCTATACTTTAATTCAAGTATTTTTTAGCAATAGGTCAATCTTACTTTTAATTGAGTCAATTATAATAAAAATATTGCTAAAAATAAAATCAATGAACAAACTACATTTTATTACAGACCTTTACCAATACATTAGTACGGAAAAAAACTAGAGAGAAAGAGGATGAAGATCATTTTGAAAATAATTACTCGAGAATGTATGCAGACCAATTGATTCATAATTTAATATGTTCAACTTTCGTTTCTTCATTACTATTACCATTCAGCATTCATTGTTTCTGCAAATGTGCATCTCTGTGTGCAGTATAACAGCACATTTTCGTGGTATATCTGCAGTTTTAAATGCATATATTTGCAGTGAATATTGCATCAGAAATCATATATAAGATGTCTAAGTGTCCTGACAAGATTAAAAATTCACACTTCATTTCGCTTTCTTGGGTGTGTTTGTTGAACATATGGCTGTCTGTCCCATACTGTAGTGGGATCATCGATTGAAAAAAGAGTTCATTGGGTTTGTCATCCTCGCTCTCTCACTGTCTCTGTCCCTCTCTCCCTCAGTCACCCTCCCTCTTAACGTTACCTATCCGGCCACTTTGGGGCTTATTTATTCACAGGATCCTCCCTTATTCCATCGTGACAGCTTTTCGGACGATTTTCATCCAATCCTTCGGATATTGGACAGCATGTATTTCGTCTTTCTATGTCGGCGATGAATGATTTGTGTGAAAACATTGCTCTCGATCCGCCGCCGCCGCTGCTGTGATGATGGAGAGGCGGTGCGTGTCAGAGCAAGGCGGATAGAGGCCCAGCAAAGCCCCGCGCTGGATTTACTACCCTGTACGAGCGACTGAACACCAACAGCAGATTACCTCACAACAACTCTCCGGTACATACCCATATTAGCTATACACACAAATGTGAGGTATGTCTTTAAACCTCTATTGTTCAAATACCAACGCTAGTGCTCTTTTAAAAAGTCTTATGTATTGTTTCAGACTGGTAACAGTTAAAGCGTCGTTGGCGGGATATTACTGCATATTTTATCTGAAAGTTATCGGGTTAGCTAAAGCGGATTAGCCTAGCGGCTAGGTGGCTAAAGGAATCAATATCTTGTATTTTTGTAAGGAAATTGCTTATTCGCCTTTCATAACCTTTTGACACGGTAACTAAAAATACTTTCATTTGAGAGTATTTTAACTCCTTAACAAGAATATTTGTCAATTTCTGCTTAATTAGTATGTTTTGTATGGGATTGCTACTTGGCTATCTGGCTAATTATGTCAGAGATAAGAGCCTCCAAAATATATTTCTACTTTAATATTATGTATTTTTTGTTTTCAATGTGCTTAAATGCGTACTCATTATAAAATTCAGCTTGTTTACTTATACAAACTGTAGTATTAAACAGGTTTATGGTGAAATTAGTGCATGTTTCTGCTCAGTCATGATTCAGGTTTGTTTGTTTTTACCAGTCTGTGGTTAAAACCTAATAAACATAGGTATAACAAGTTATTGTTGGCTATAAACTTATGTCTCTATAAACAGTTCGTTTTAGCTAGTGGTTCTCTGTCATTGTGGGTCAGTCTATTCATATTCAAGAATGATAACCCGCTTAATCTTATTATCTTCCTATCTCTGTCACTCTAAACACTGCTGTGGAAGTTTGTTGTGGTTTGTACTGTTGGCATTGGTTTAGTTGTTTTGGGTAAACTGAGTGAGCTGGTCCACTTTCCGCTAGACACTGAATGTCTGTCCTCGTTGCTGTTGTTACAGTATAATTCAGTGGACCTGAAGTTATAAAGCAAGCAGATCAGATGAAGGTCTGAACAATGACGGACATTTACATTTACAAGTGGCACTAACATCAGACTGAGGTAAGCACAAATACCACCAGCTTATGTAAATATTGGTTCATCTCTTGCTTTTTTTATTTGCTGAGAAGAGATGACTAGCAATAAAAAGTGTGAAAGGGTGGAGTGGTTACAACCTTGACCGTACCACAATCTCACAAAGCTCTGTGTTAAACATTTGCATGGCATTTTACATGAATTACCTGAAGAGGATGGTCAGGACAAAAGATCTGACGTGTTTATCTCACATGGCCTAGTTTTAAAATCCAATAATTTCAGATAACACATCACATGTGTCTTAACATTGTGAAAGATGCTGTTGGTCAGATTAGTGAATCGCTTTCAGCAGCCTTACACCCAGGAGATGAATACAGTTTTCGTTTTGTTGGCTCATGTTAGCAGGGAAAAACAAGTCACCCACTTAAGTATGAAGTGCCAAATGTTTTTGGCGTTATGTTGAGTGGAAATATCTCTCTCTCTTTCTCACAGAGTGATACATTCCTGTCATTGCTCAGTGACTCACATGTTGGGTTGTACTGAACTTCTGTAAGCATGTTTTTTCATTAAGACTGATGTCAGTGATGTATTAAATGACTCTATTGGACTCATGGATTAGTATTAGTGTGTTTGTTAAGGTGGTGTGTGTCTTTTACGTACAGCTCCAAAGTTCGGGATCAGTAAGATTTATAAAAAAAGTTTTTAAAGAAGTCTCTCATGCTCATCAAGGCTGCATTTATTTTAGTTAAATATGCAGTAGAAAAATTATATTGAGAAAGATTTTTACACTTTAAAATAACATTTTAAAATATATTTTATTTGAACCTTTATAATTATTTGTAACTATGTTATAACTTAAGTTTATTTGAACTATTTTAATATATTTTAAAATTCCTTTGTTCCTGTGTTGGCAAAGCTGATTTCTCAGCATCATTACTCCAGTCTTCAGTGTCAATAGAAAGATTTAAAATAGAAATCTTTTGTGAGATTATAAATGTTTATTATAATGATCATTTAGTGCATCTTTGCAGAATAAAAGTATTAATTTTCTTAAAAAAATCTTACTGACCCCAAACTTTTGAACGGTACAGTAGGTAACACCTTCCAGTATATAAGACCAGGTTAATGAGAAGCATCACTGTTGTTACATCGAGGTTTATTATGCTTGTTTGTTGTCTGTGTTCCTGTTTGTTACTGACGTCTTAAGACCTAATTAGTTTGTTCTGGGACATGCTTATTTGTTCAAATAACAAGTCTAAGGTGTAGTTTATAATACTGAACATTTTGTCTTGTCCGTTGATCTTATTGTTATTGAAAACAGTGCATGATGTCAAGCAGTCGCCAAAACCCACTTTATTTTTCCTATTCCTTTTCAGGAGAAAAAGTGGTTGGTGATATTTTTTTTCTTCCCTATTGAAGATTGTGAGGACTACAAATCATGCCTCCAAGACCCTCGTCGGGAGAGCTATGGGGCATCCATTTGATGCCCCCCAGGATTCTGGTGGACTGTCTACTGCCCAATGGCATGATCCTGACACTAGAGTGCCTCCGGGAGGCCACCCTCATCACAATCAAACATGAACTTTTTAAGGAGGCAAGGAAGTATCCACTCCACCACCTGCTGCAAGAGGAGACTTCCTATATTTTTGTCAGCGTAACGCAAGAGGCAGAGCGTGAGGAGTTCTACGATGAGACGAGAAGACTTTGTGACCTTCGGCTATTCCAGCCCTTTCTAAAGGTCATTGAACCTGTAGGGAACAGAGAGGAAAAAATCCTCAACAGAGAAATCGGTAAGACGTCACACATGAGCTGATTTGTTTAACCAAAAATGAAACCAAAAATTAATGTCAAGTAGACAGATTGTCTAAAATTCACATCCCTGTTTCTGAATAACGTACAGTCCCATTCAAAAGTTTATCAGTAAGATTTTTATTTATTTATTTGAAAAGAATGACTACTTTTATTCAGCAAGGACACATCAAATTGATCAAAAGTGACTTTTTGTTCTAAGATAGTGTTTTTTTTTATGTGTTTCAGGTTTTGCCATCGGCATGCCAGTGTGTGAGTTTGATCTAGTGAAGGATCCGGAGGTACAGGACTTCAGGAGAAATATACTAAATGTTTGCAAAGACTCAGTAGAGCTGCGGGATGCCAATGGGCCACACAGTCGAGCACTATACGTTTATCCTCCTAATGTGGAGTCTTCAACAGAGCTTCCAAAGCATATATATGGCAAATTAGACAAAGGTAGGCTTGTTCTTTTACGGGAATATTCTGTGTTATTTTCATGTTTATGGACATTTTCTTCAGGAGATAAAAAAAAAAAGTCTTTCTTGAGCTATCCGCTTAAAGGATTAGTTCACTTTCAAATAAAAATGTCCTGATAATTTACTCACCCCCATGTCATCCAAGATGTCCATGTCTTTCTTTCTTCAGTCGAAAAGAAATGAAGGTTTTTGAGGAAAACATTCCAGGATTTTAAAAAGTATATAATAAATTTTTTTTTTTTTTTTGAAAATGACAGATCGTTTTACTAGATAAGACCCTTATTTCTCGTCTGGGATCATGCCGAGCCTTTGAAGCTGCATTGAGACTGACATTTGAACCTTCAAACCGTTGGTTGCCATTGAACTCCATTATATGGAGAAAAATCCTGGAATGTTTTCCTCAAAAACCTTAATTTCTTTTCAAATTTTTTATTTGAAAGTGAACTACTCCTTTAAGTCATAACGCAAGGAATGCTGTTTCCAGGTCCAAGCCTCTACTCGTTTCACTTGAGAATACTATCTCAACATCCATTCATGAGCACTATTTATTCACATTACACATTTAGGCTAAGCATTTAAAAACGTGCAGTGTACACTACAGTCTCCGTGCTCACGGTGTCCCAAACAGAAATATGTTAAGCATTTAAAAAATATGAATCGCTGTCTGGCCATCTGGGATGATTTTGGTATGGAGATAAAGGTTAGGATTATCATTCTTCGGTAGTATCACATCACATCGTGAGTGTATATAGCACCGTTTGTTGTTTTCTTGGGGCATCTGGTAGAACAGTGATGCGTGACGTCAAACTTAAGCTGATGATGTTCTATAATAGTCCTTTCGAAATTAGACTACTTTTCGTGAAACTTCTGCTTATGAGTTATTAGTGTAATTTCTGTGGGCAGAGTTTGCAGAACTCAACTGAAGAACACTGTTTTTTGGTTCTATGTCCCTTCCTGTTATACTTGGTAGATATTAACTGAGTTTAGGTTTGTAGGTGGTCATGGCATGAGTTGAGACATGAGACATGAATAATCATATACTGAATGAGAGACATATACAATATTCTCTATTTTCTTGCAGTGTTTTGTTAGTTTCAATAATGTCGTACTTAAAGGAATAGTTCACTTAAAAATGAAAATTCTGTCATCATTTACTTACCCTCAAGTTGTTTCAAACCTGTATGAATTTCTTTCTTCTGCTGAAGAACACAAATTAAGATATTTAGATTTTTAAGTGAACTATTCCTTTAAGTCATGACTTAAGTATGTGAGGGTCAAAGGTCAGATATATTTTAATTTAATGCCTAATGTAAATGGTTTGTAGTCTGTGCGTGTTCACTACACTAACTTGGATGGGGTAAATGCAGAGGACACATTCCGAGTTTGGGAATCTTCACATGTCACTTTAAACTTCAGTTATTCGAACCGGTTTTCCATGCTTTAAAATGTCTTGGTATTTTGAACCGGTTTTCCATGCTTTAAAATGTCTTGGTATTTGGTAATAAATGATTTATCTGTATTTTACAGTGAGTTATTATATTGGTGGATTGAAATAAAAAACATTAATTGTTATTTTTAATAATTTGAGGAAAT